AAAACAAACAAACAAACAAAAACCAAAAAAGGAATAAAAAAACAGTTTAAGAGAAAAAAAAATAAAAAAAAATAAAAGTTCTATGGACAAGTGCAGTAGTCTTCTGGAAAACGCCAAACAAGCACAGCTCTAAAACCAAACGAAACTGGTTTGTTTTGTTTCCTGAGAACACTCCCACCCCACCGTGGCCAGTTTCAATGTACTTACCACTTAGTAACTCATGATAAAATTCTGGAACATGTAACAATTAGCTTTCATGACAGAGTCCATACTAACTGTTCCAGAACACTCCTTTATCACAAGTTACTATACAGAGTGTGTCACTGGAAATTCAGAGACATCAGCAAGGGCTCCTTGCCTATTTACAGAGCAAGTAAATGTTTATTCATAGAACTAGATGAAAGACAGTTTTGAGAATACAGAAACATGTAGGATGTCAGGCTCTGGTTTTATTTTCACTAGCTTGTTGAAAATTTAGGAGCTTGCTCATAGATGCCAAGTAAATACCAATATGGCCCTTCACTTGCTTAAGTCTTCTCATTAATCAACTAGCACAAAATAAAATAAATATAACAGTAATAAATGTATTACATATCACTTTAAAAATATGATATTGCTTATTAGTTCTAAATAGTGATCACCTTGCTCAAACATGAGGACAAAACATGTAAACAAGCCAAGGTAAAATAAACTGAAAATCCATATTTGCCTTTTTTTTTAGAAGTGGTTTTTCTCTCTGAATTTCTAACTCATACATTGTGAAATCCAAATCCAACTTATCCCATCCAAGGCCTGCTTCTCCTATCTGCCAGGCTCACCATCTACACCTGTCCCTCCACACAACGAATCATATGTTCCATTTGTTTTCTGGTTGTTCCTATTGTTTATAAAGATACTTTTATCCCTTTTTAAAAATCTTGTGATTTTTCAAATACATTGCTTAAATTATATTTTTAAATAAACATTTAAATAACAACTAAAGGTGCTTCTAAGAATCTAAACATCTACACATAACCATAGTTAACAACTACAAGTTGAAATACACTGAATTAATATGTAGTTTTAATGCCATGTGCCTTCAGTGTTTTAAACTCACTGAAAATTATCATAAGGAAACTGTCATATTCAATTGTTTTTGACTGACTTCAGATAGTTTTTACTTGTTAACTAACAATAAAATATAGTTAGTTATAAGGGTATTCATATTTACCTGCTTTCCTGTTCCTTGAAAAGACTAACAGAGCAATGAGGAGAGGTCCTCCAGGTGTATCTCCTCCTGGAGGAAATAGTGAGGTCTCACCAGGGTGCCCCCTCTCACCTCGCAAGTTGTTAAGCCTTTTGGACATCCCTGTGATGGTCCATGAGCTCAGCTGAGGGTTCACAGGCTGGGGAATGTGCAGCTGCATTAACTGACTCCTGCAAAGAAAAAGAACCACTTACTAACATGTCCCGAGGTATCATAAGCAATCCCTTGGAGATGCTCCATCAGAATCCTCTCATGTGCAAAGGGTGTGAATTCAACTCCACAAATCGAGGAATACTGCAGTTGTTTTTGCATTTTATAATTAGCTACCCTGCTCTTACCACTCCAATCTCAGTAAGATATGTCACTTCACTCACAATTTATCTCTTTCTTACTTTCAGCTTCTCTAGGGGAACCACATAGCCATTTTCTTTTAGGTCCCCAAATCCAATAGGTGCCAAAATTTTGGAACTTGCTGCCTGGTACATATGGAGCCTAAGCTCTGTAGGATGCTCTTTCCTGGGGACTTTCCCTGTCCCCTCTTCTCACCATCCTTCCACCTGCTGTCTCTCTGAGCTTATTTGCCTTTCCCATAGAAGACCTGGAATAATCCTCAAATAATTAGGATTTTGAAAATTAGAGACAGGAAAAATAATTGTCCTTTGGCAACTTCTGCATTAAACCTTGCAGCTGAAACCACATCCCTCTCAACCCTCACTTTTACCTAAGGGTGGTCAATATAAAACCTAAAAGTGTTTAGATAAAACTGCATTTATTTCTAAATGCAGACAGAAAGAAACTTGTCACAAAAAGGTGTGTGTCCATCTCAGCAGAAATAGCCTGACCACTATCACCATAAACCAACTTGAATAGAGGGGCAAACTTACCTTTTCATGATGTCTCCCAAATCCTGTGAAGAGAAAGAGAGGAAGGCTTAGCTTTGAGCTCAAGATATCTTTAGTCTAGTCTGAGGCTATGAGACTGGACTGGAAAATTCTACATCTCCACTTTTCTTTCTTGGGTAAAATCATTTGCTCTTTTCTTTATCCTTATAAAGATTAAACTCAGTCTTACATTTGCATACAGTTGATAAAATCATGATAAAATTTAAAACAGAGGATGTTCTTAGAATAAACAGTTGTCTGTGTTTGTTCTAATCTACAGAGAAATTCACAGAGGTTTCCCCAAAGTTCTTATGAGGGTGTGTGGGCTCCAAATCTACAATTTCAAAATAGAAAGAATGGATACACCCAACATTTCTACATATTGACAAGTCCAGATACAGAATCAAATGATCTATTCCTAAGCTGTTCTTTTGCAGTTGGTTAGAAACTGAAAGTTTAGTAGAAGAATTGAGAAGGAATTTTTTTTTCTGGGTCTGTTCCACGAAGTTTTCTACATAGTTTTGCTTCTGTATAAGGTGAATGTGACCCTGAGCCTCCAGGTTATACTGAAGGAACAAAGCCTGCCATCACAAAGTTAAAAGAGGCAGAATTTGGACTTTGGAAACAGGAAAATAATGGAGGTCCAAGGGGATACAGACTTCAGTGGACATAAATGATTTCTGAGCAGACTGGTATTCAACACCCTGACATCTTTCCTCAGTCCTTACTGGAACAGGTCCACATCTGTTTCACAGCACATTTCCTCATACATTTTTCTCAGGAGTTTCCCCATGTGACGCATTCTCCCTACATTTCTCCGGAGTTGATTAAAAATTATCTTGCCTTCAACTGCCAGTCACTCTAAATGTTTTTGCTTTTCTTCGTGGAGATATTGGTATACCTTAGGATATTCAGCCCTGATCATCATCATCCGTAGATTTACAAAACCCTGAAATGACATTGGTTTAATTCGGTCATGTATCTGAATGGTTTTATTCTTCTTTCATTATCTATGGTCTGTGTGCTCTGTAGTGTTCTTTTCTTAGTCTTTTTGGGCTGCTTTAACAAAAATGCCATAGACTGGGTAGCTAACAAACATAGAAATTAACTTCTCACCATTCTATATGCTGGGAAGCCTATGAGTGGTGCTGGCAGATTTGGTATCTGATGAGAACCCACTTCCTACATAGCCATCTTTTCACTGTGTCCTCAAATAGCAGATGGGGCAAGGGACATTTCCAGGGCCTCTTTTAGAAGGACACTTGTCCTATTCCTGAGGACTCTGGCTTCATGATCTAATCACCGTCAAAGCCCCCACTCCTTTTATCATCACCTTGGGGGTTAGAATTTGAACACACAAATTATTATCTGAAGCAAATATTCAGATTATAGAAACACTACATACAGCTTTATGTCTTTCTCCTTCCAAGAAGCCACACATTTGGTTTCTTTCTTACTTTTTCCACTCATTCCTTTCCTTCTTTTTCATTTATTTATTTGCCTGCACCATTGCTTCCAATGACTTACCCTCAAACTTCCATGTTTTCATGTAAAAATAGAAAGTTGAGATCAATTTTTTATTGTTTCATATAATTCATAGTATCTAAATCATAATCCATTTTCCTCAATGCTCATACTCATAAACTGACTATCTGCTCTCAGCAAAAAGCAACAATTGACTTCCTTAGGCAAACAGAGGACATCACACATGATCTTTCTAAATTACCTTCATTTCCAAAACACTCTTGTTTCACCAGAGCCTGGCTCTGCCTGCCTCGGGACCACACCCACCTCCTCTTGACTGGTCCACCCTGTTTTGTCTCCTTAGAGACATTATCATCTAGATTATAATTCTACATACTTGTTCTTGCCTCTCCTCTGTCTCCTACATCTCTGTGTCTCTGTACCCCTTCTTCTGTGGGTCTGTCTCTAGTTCACGCTCTCATTTGGCCACTTTTTCTCACTCTCTCCCCTTCTTTTCACACAGCCTTTAAACATATGCAGATTTACCAAATCATTTTGTAAATATCAACATTAAACATTCTTGTTAAAATGACTTTATCTAGCTTCTATGCTAATACTTTCATTTGCCATAAAAGCCAGACTTATTGACCAAATGTGATCAAACACACTGTGCCCATGGGTGCAATTTTCAGTTATTCATCCAAGCAATGACTCCTTGCTTCTGTTTCCTACTCTTTGCTGAATTACACAGTCCAACTTGCCAAGAACCTATTTTTACTAAATCCAAATAATATGATTCATTCTTATATTACTTCACCCTCTTTCCACATTTAACATTATTTCCTACTCATTTCTTTTACTAATCCCTTCTGTCTCCTGCTCCAGAAAGCTGTTCTCAGAGAGGTGCTCATCCCACATCTCCCCCACCCCTGGCCAGCTCCTCAGATCTCTGCCCAGATGTAACCTTGGCCATGGGTCTTCCATCACCAGCATACATTCCCCAAGCACGCACTCTTTATACCCATTTTTTATTTTACCCAAGCACTTCATAAATGTGATATATCATAAATTTTACTTTTTAAATTTCTGGATCAAGTTCTTTTACTGATTATAAACTCCTGAGGTCAGTGATTTGTTTTCTCTTTTTGCCCATTCCTGTATCTCTTTGTTGGCCTAGAACAGTGAGCAACACATCACAGGTTCTCATATGAATGAATGATTCATTAGAAATCCATCCTAGGGGTGCCTGGGTGGTTCAGTCAGTTGAGCGTGGGACTCTTGATTTCGGCTCAGGTCATGGTCTCAGAGTTATGAGATCAAGCCCTGTCTCAGGCTTTGTGCTCAGCATGAAATCTGCTTGAGATTCTCTCTCTCCCTCTGTCCTTCCCTACCACTCCCCACCCCTGCTCACATGCTCTCTCTAAAATAAATAAATCTTAAAAAAAAATAAAATAAATCCATCCTAAACAATCAACATAATGTTCTTATTCCCCTTTGGCATTCTCTTAGCAACATGTATAGATAACTGTTTAATGAATTTTTATTCTCTAATATTGCCTTTTTATATATCTCCTTCAGTATTGCTCGAGTTCTTTGAAAAGAAAGGTGTAGTTTTCTTCTTCAGATTCAGGTTCTCAGTTCCTCTTCATGAATCAACAAATGACACAATCCAAAATCCTTAGTTAGGCATTTGTATTCTTGACCTGGGCATAATGACATCTCTAGCCACACCTCTCATCACCGTCTGTCTTGTACCCCATGCACTAAACTGTAGGAGCAGTGAGCAGGTCTCAAACAATTTCATGGGTTGTCTGGTTTGTTTCATCTTTACTTCTCTTGTCCCTCAGATCTCTCTGCCATCAATATCCAGGAAATTACAAATTCTACTATATGCAAGCATCACATTGATTTTTACTTGTCTGAGAAGCTTTTCTTAACATTCAAAGATTGCTAAGTTCCTACTGAACTCTGTATTTACCTCCATCCCCGTGATCATTGCATTCTGTCTTGGGATAGTGCATTTTCTTATCCCTGATGATGTATTAGTGGTAGATATTGTTTTATCCAGAAAAATCAGGAAAAGTCTTTTGGTTACACAATGGGCTCAGTGTGAAATCCTGCACTGAAGGTCATGTTTTCCTGTAGAGAGATATATGTAGTTCTTTTTCTGATTACCTGCTCAGGGGACATTATGATTTAATTTAAGTTATTCCACTGTCAGTTACCATCGTATCTGTCCCAAGCTGGTTCCAAGAGAAACAGGGCCTACTGCTTACCTGCCATACTCTAAATAAGTTGTATTCTTTGTTTAGATTTTTCTGATTTTTCTGTCTGCTTTTCCAAATAGACTTCTTTTGCAGCAGAAGTTTCTCCTGTAAAAGAACTACAAATTTGAGCACTAGAAAAGCAAATATAGCACATTTCACATACTTCAAAAAGTGATAAGGGGATAGGCGTGAGAAAAATAAAAAGTAAAGAAAGCAGATACGTCAGTGATTTTCCCTAGGAACACTAAGAGTCAAATCTGGGAGATTGACCCAAAATAGAGTTCCTGAATTTGGAAAATGCAATCCATTATCTGAGGAATCCAGTACTTACATTATATGTAACATGGACAGTTTTCAGAAATGAATCCTGATTCATATTTAATTTTGAAATAATGGCCATCACTTTTTCTATGACCTGATTAGAATACATTGCTTTTAAATCTCCTGTCACTGGAAGATGCTCCTTTTCATCATGGCAGAAGTAGCCAGTGACTGCCACTGCCTCTAGAGAATACCCACCCTGTTAGTTACTCTGAAATACCAACACCCCCCTCAACTCATTATCATTCCTCTCCCTCATCCCAACAGAATTTAAACTTTAGGAGAGCAAAGAGGTTTGTCTAATTTCTTCAGTGTTGTAACCCTAGTTTTCAGAACAGTTCCTGGCACATGGTATTCTGAAATTCTATTTGCTTGAGGATTAAGAGAAGAAAAATAAAAATCAACAATTTTTGCTCATTGCCTGATAAGACACAGAGCATTTCACAGGGGCAGTACTTACCCTGCACTGCTGATATTGGTACACAGCCTGTGATATTGGTGAGTGTCTGTGAGTGGCATGCCTTTGGGAATTGGCACAGTGCAAGCACAGTGGGCTCTTGTCAGTTGGACAGAAGAGGTCCTTTACTACTAGGTGTATCCTACAGACTTCCTTGGCAGAGTTCAGTAATTGGCAGGCAACTGATTCATTGGAAACATGAACTTGTTTTGCAGCAAAAATAATGCTTTTGAAGTCTGTTCATGGAGATACTGCCCTGCACACAGGGCAGCGAGGAGGATGCTGAGCATCTTCCCACAAGAGGCAGAGACAAGGAGTACAAAAGTTGTGCCCACAAGTAAGGGTGAAAGGGTCTGTGAAATAGTCCTTGCAGATGTAGCAGATAAGCTCACTGGGAACATTCTGCACAAAAGTAGAATTCATGTTTCTGAGGAAATAAAAGGAAAGGGAAAGTGAATTGAGTTAAGCCTTCTCTCACTAATACACACATGCACAATTGCAGCATAGGTGGTGCTGAGAATAAGATGGTGAGGCAGAAGGAGAGTCCTCCAGACTGATAGCCTGCATGCTTGTTTTCCAGCCATGCCCTGTAGCCCTGCTTCTCAGTTCCCATTAGAAATTCAGGATTTGTCAACCGTGTTGTCTCCTTTACAAAGACAAATACGTCAGAGGTTCTGGCTCATCCCTAGTCATAGTCAGGGGGCCATATTTTGTCCAAAATTATCACACTTTTCCTTTATTTTTCTCTCTGTGATTGGCTAGCATAAGGTATTTGCTCCCATTCTGACCAGTGGAATAAGAAAGACTCCTAGGAGAGTCTAGAAAAATATTTCTTGCTCTAGAAGAAACATGGAAGAAAAATTTGGGTTTGTTGTTGTTGTTGTTGCTGTTTTTGTTTCTGGACATGACTTGTATACAGTGCCCATTTACATAGCCATTTTATGGTCTCAAAGCCTAAGGATAACAGCCAATACTCTGAGGCTAACAAGGGGATGGAAAAAACCTTCTGGATTTGCAAGAATGCCATTAAACACTACTTATCTTTTCTGGAGATACCTAAAAGGAAAAGTGAAAATAACCACTTTAGAGACACCATAACACTAACTGAATCAAGCAAGAATCATCAATAGATGCTAAAATAACTAAGATAAAACCTTTTGGGAAGAGAGTATTCATATACCAACAAATTTATACCCCACATATTAGTTCCTAAATGCAAAAGAGAAAAAGGTACCTTTACATGGTAAATATTTAGCTGACACATTAACCAAGTAACCAAACTGTGGCCATGGATCTCATACATTCATAGATGTAGACCACTTAAGGACACAACAGCACATCTGTAGCATCCCTCCCAGAAACATTTAATCTGCAAGTAACCATGGAGGAATGTTAGACAAATACATTTAGGAGACATTATGTAAAACAATAATCTTGGGCTATTCAAATAATCTTAGTTTCTTAGGAGAAAATGGTTTAAAATGATTATACATGATAGGTGAGTAAAATATGAAATTCACTAGAATGGGCCATCCTTGACCCCCTCCCAGATTGAAAAAATTAACAGCCAATAGGGACATTTGGGGGACATGCAGGGACATAATAAAGATAATGGGGTCTTCCCATTTCAGTTCAGAAATGTGGAAAGCTAGAAAGATTGTTGCTGTCCTCCTAGTGCCAGAAAAATTCTAGACAAACTAAACATTAATGATTTGTGTTGAAACCATTAGAGAATTGAGGTAGCAAGTCAAAGAACTAAGATAGATTCTGCATAGAGGCAAGCACAAGCACAGAGAAAAAAAGGACCTGTACATGTTTATCTGGAGCAGATTCTACTAGAGGCCATATAAATTGATATGAAGATAAATTAGTTTTAATTAGCCACTAAAAACCAAATGTGAGTGAAAATAAGTTTGCAAAGGCCCTTAGGATCATAAATGTAGAGGGCAATACAGATGGAGAGATGAAAGAGAGAGTCTCTTTGGGAAGCAGCACAAAGAGAGGACCCAGAGCCAAATCAAGAAGTAAAACAGAATATCTTTAAAGTAGTGCTTCTCAACTGAGGGCTACCCCAAGTCAACCATGGTGGTACTCTTTAGAGATAATTTTGGTAGTCACAATTTGAGGGATATTACTGGCATCTAGTGGGTAGAGGCCAGAGTTGCCTTTAAATACCCAACAGTGAACAGCACAAGAAAGAATTTACAATAAAAGGTTTTCAAGACAAATTTGCTAACTGTGTGAGGTGGAGAAAACTTCTACCAGAGTCACTGGAAGTCTCTGGAACCCACAGCATTAACATACTCTAACTTTGGTAACCAGAGCAATAACAAACTTCAAACCTATGTCAAGTCCTGACTAGATCAACACAAATCCGCATAGTAAAGGCCTTGCAGAAGAAAGTGTGTGCTTACCAAGAAACATGGAAAGGACTTATAGTATCTACTGTCATAGTACAGTATCTATTGTCATATATAATGTCAGGTATTTAACAAAAAACATTACATTAAGGCATATCAAAAGCATTAAAAAAAAATCAACCTGAACTGATAAAGTACTCATCACAGCCAGACTTAGATACAGAACAGATGTTAGAGCTTTCAGACAAGGACTTTAGAATAACTATGATCAGTATGTTAAAGGCTTTGATGAAAAATGTCAACAACATGCAAGATACATGAGTAATTTCAGGAGAGATGAAAACTGTAGGACAGACTCAGATAAGCTAGAAATAAAATCTACAGAAAATGTCATTGTTGGGCTTCATAGTACATGTGATACAGCCAAGGAAAGTCAGTGACCACAAAAATAGGTCAATACAAAACACAATCCAAACACAAAGAGGAAAAACAAAGAGTGGAATATAAAAAGAAAATAGAGTATCAAAGAGCAATAAGGCAACATTAAATGATATAACATATGTGTAATTGGATTCCCAGAAAGAAAACAAAGAGAACAGGGCAGAAGAAACATCTGAAGAAGTAATTTTAGAAAAATTTCCAAAATTAGTGATATACACCAAAATAAGATTCATGATGTCCAGAAAATATCAAACAGAAAATAATATAAAACAAACAAATGAACCAACAGAACCCCCAACACCTTGGCAAGTCATATTCAAACTGAATGAAAACAATAAAAAGGAGAAAGTCTTGAAGGCAGCCACAGTAATGGGGGCAGGAGAAAGATTATATACAGAGGAATAAAGATAAGAACTATACCAATAAGCTTGCCAGAAACTATGCAACTAAGAAGACAATGGATTATATTTTTAAAGCATTGAAAGAAAACAACTGTCAACACACAATTCTATATCCACTGAAAATATCCTTCAAAAGTAGGAGATATTTTAATTTTCCAAAGAAAGAAAAACTAAGGGAATCAGTATCAGCCAATCAATGTACAAAAAATACATGTACAAAGTTGTACAAAGTTCTTCAGAGAAAAGGATGTCATGCTGGGAGGAAACTTGAATCTACACAAAGAAATGAAGGACATTAGAAATGAAATAAATAGATGAAATGTGAGGTATTATATTTTTTTAATAATAACTATTTAAAACAAGATAGTCAAAATGTACCATATGTACATTTTGTTTATGACATATGTAAAAGTGAAATGAGGACAATGACACAAGACACAGGAAAGAGGAATTAGGACTATGATCAGGTCTTGACATCACATGTAAAGAGATAGAGTATTACTGAATGTGGACAAAATTACTTAAGGAGGTCTACAGGAATGCCTTGGAGATATTGCAGGTTTGGATCTGAAAAACTGCCATAAAACAAATATTGCAATAAAGTAAGCCAAATGAATTTTTGGTTCCCCCACACATACGAAAGTTAGGTTTACATTCTACTGTAGTCTACTAAGTGTGTGATAGCCTTATATCTAAAACAAGTGTACACTTTAATTAAAGATTATTTTATTGCTGAAAAATGCTAACCATCATCTAAGCTTTCAGTGAGTCACAATCTCTGATCACAGATCACCATAACAAATATAATAATAATGATAAGGTTAGAAACATTATGAGAATGACTAAAACGTGACACACAGACATGAAGTGAGCAGACGCTATTGGAAAAATGATGCTGATGGACTTGCTGGACAAAAAGCTGCCACAAACCTTCAATTTGTAAAAATCTTAATATCTGTGCTGTGCAATAAAATCAGGTATGCCTGTATTTTAAACTGTAAGGCAGACACTAAAAATAATTAAAATAGAGATATAAATAATGAGTGAGTCACCTGAAGAAATAAAATGAAACTTGAAAAGTGCAGGCATAGACTTCCAGTTTCTGATGCAACATGTGAGAAGCTCAGAAATCACACCATGTTCCAACAAGTAAAAAGCTGAAAAACTGAAAAATCAACAACTCTTCTTAGATCCATTAGAGAAGTAAGGTCACAGGGCAAAAGGCTGCTTCCCCCAATTGGAGAGTCACATAGGCAGATACAGATAATCTCAGTTTGCCAGAGCAAAAACTCACCAGCAGAACTGTCCATGGGACATGGTGCTGAGGTAGGAAAACCTACACAACAATTGATGAATGGCTAGAGGCTCAGTGTGCACAAGTCTGAGAGTTAAAAACTCTAGGGGGACACACTCATAGGAAGGACCCACACTTTTGTGAGTTTTACCTCTAGGAACTTAACCAGGTCCTCACAGTGAATATTGGGGAAAAAACTGCTGCTGCTTTGGCAGGGGGAGGGGAAAAGTAACCATTTTGAAGTATGTCAGAGCATTCTGTTCTTCTTAAAAAGGACTGTCCTCCTTAAAAGGAGAAACTATTTAACCAGAGCCAATCTCCATGGGAGAAGGGATGACCCAAGTCCAGCCACCTCTAGACATCAATCTGTTTCAAGCAAAGAGTGGGGAACTGAGAAACACTGCTGACCTCTACAGCCCAGGGATACAGGATCACTAAAAGACTGACCTACTCAGAATACTACAGAATGCATCTCCTCCCCCCACCCCTTTACTAGCACATTATTAAAGGCCTATTTATTGCAATTATTTTATCTAGTATATCATCTTAGCCTTTCATCAAGAAATTACAAGGCATACTAACTAGCAAAAAACGGTTTGAAGAGATTGAAGAGGCATTGGAATCAGAGTCAGATATCACAAGAATGGTGGAAATATCAGATGAGAAATTTAAATTTTAAAACCTATGATTAATATGCTAAGAGCTTTAATGGAAACAGTAGACAATATACAAGAACAGATAATGAAGCAGGGAGACAAAATTGCTAAGAAAGTATTTCTAATAATGTTAGAAGTGAAAATAATGTAACATAAGTGAAGAATGCCTTTGATGGGTTCATTAGTATACTAGACATTCTTGAGGAATTGGAACTTGAGGGTATATCTATAGAAATACCTAAATTTAAAAGCAAGGAGAAAAAGGACAGCA